GCAGCAGTAGTAGTAGCAACAGTAGTAGTAGCAGCAGCAGCAGCAGACCAGAGAGCCCAGCGGTTAGCGGAAAACACGACCGGGTGTTCACGTAACAGCAGCCCTCTTCGTCGCTCCGCTGCTGGATCTTGTGCCTCTTCCACGCCGCGCGTGGGCTACGGGTCGGTCGTCGTGCCGTACCTCGCCGTGATGATCAGCGCGGGTCGCCGGTGCTCACGACGGTTCAATAATCACTCACCAGCAGCGCTGTCAGCCATGGCCACGGAAGAGTTGGCAAATCCTGGGTATCCGGGTTCAGGGTGCAGTGTGTTCAGCGCTACGCCACCACGCCACCACTCCAGCCACTCGTCCAACCATCCCCCCCCCTACTCGACAAATACACGGTCCTTATCTCGTGGACCATGCATCAAGTTCACTCCGTCCGCCGACGAGGCAAAATTCGATGACACGTCGAGGTCCCGTGAGATGCGATCCAAGTCAAGAATCGATAATTTTTGTCACGTGTTGTTTACCGCCTCGTCTGCGAGGTTCCTCGTTCGTTCGCTCCATCAGGCTCGATGTAACATTTTGTGTCACCTGGACATTATTTGCATCAGCTGCTAATTCATTGTTTGTTCTTGCGCACCACGATACCATACGTGTCCCGTGAGACAACTTGCCTGGCATGTGAATGCTGCTGCGGGATTACGGTCAGCACACTGGAATTGCAACCCAGAGGTCACGAGCTCGATGACCCAGTTGAAGCACTGGACAAATTGTCTCTGTAGCTGTCTGTATGGCTGTCTGTGTAGCTGTCTCTGTGGCTGTCTGTGTAGCTGTCTGTGTGGCTGTCTGTGTAGCTGTGTCTGTAGCTGTCTGTGTGGCTGTCTGTGTGGCTGTCTGTGCAGCTGTCTGTGTGGCTGTCTGTGCAGCTGTCTCTGTGGCTGTCTGTGTGGCTGTCTGTGTGGCTGTCTGTGTGGCTGTCTCTGTGGCTGTCTGTGTAGCTGTCTGTGTGGCTGTCTGTGTGGCTGTCTGTGTAGCTGTCTCTGTGGCTGTCTGTGTGGCTGTCTGTGGAGCTGTCTGTGTGGCTGTCTGTGTAGCTGTCTGTGTGGCTGTCTGTGTGGCTGTCTGTGTGGCTGTCTGTGTAGCTGTCTGTGTGGCTGTCTGTGTAGCTGTCTGTGTGGCTGTCTGTGTGGCTGTCTGTGTGGCTGTCTGTGTAGCTGTCTGTGTGGCTGTCTGTGTAGCTGTCTCTGTGGCTGTCTCTGTGGCTGTCTGTGTGGCTGTCTGTGTGGCTGTCTGTGTAGATGTCTGTGTGGCTGTCTGTGTGGCTGTCTGTGTGGCTGTCTGTGTGGCTGTCGGTGTGGCTATCTGTGTGGCTGTCTCTGAGGCTGTCTGTGTGGCTGTCTGTGTGGCTGTCTGTGTCTGTCTCTGTGGCTGTCTCTGTGGCTGTCTGTGTGGCTGTCTGTGTGGCTGTCTGTGTGGCTGTCTCAGTGGCTGTCTGTGTGGCTGTCTGTGTGGCTGTCGGTGTGGCTATCTGTGTGGCTGCTCTGAGGCTGTCTGTGTAGCTGTCTGTGTAGCTCTCTGTGTGGCTGTCTGTGTAGCTGTCTGTGTGGCTGTCGGTGTGGCTATCTGTGTGGCTGTCTCTGTGGCTGTCTGTGTAGCTCTCTGTGTGGCTGTCTGTGTAGCTGTCTGTGTAGCTGTCTCTGTAGCTGTCTGTGTAGCTGTCTGTGTAGCTGTCTTTGTAGCTGTCTGTGTAGCTGTCTGTGTGGCTGTCTGTGTGGCTGTCTGTGTGGCTGTCTGTGTGGCTGTCTGTGTGGCTGTCTGTGTGGCTGTCTCTGTAGCTGTCTGTGTAGCTGTGTCTGTAGCTGTCTGTGTAGCTTTCTGTGTGGCTGTCTCTGTAGCT